TTTTTTTCTCTCTCTCATCTATCTATCTATCTATCTTTTTGTAAATAAAAAAAGGAAGAGAATTTTTGCTTTTACATATATCTTCTGAGACATGTCAAGTATGTCTGTATACACACTTCTTTCTAAAATAGTTCTTTAAACCACAAACAAATTATAATTTTCTTCCTGGCTACATTAGTTTGTATTGTATTACAGCTTTCATGAGAAGGCATTAAAACAAAGCAGAACAACTACAAAGTAACTACCAGGAAGAAAACAAGGGTTTTCTAGTGTCTTTGGCTTCAATTTTATCACTCTAAAGTGATCATTTCCTTTCTGGAGCTTTTTTTCTTGTTTTGTGTATATTATTTCTGTGTGTAGTTGCTCACATGAAATCAACATCCTAACAGTGCCAAAATGTAAATTTAAAAATTAGGTGAGAGGTAAGTTGGGGTGAAGCTAATTGCATCAGTACAGTGATCCTTTAGTAAATCAATTAAAGTCTAAATATCTGAAAATATCTGTTATCAAAATTCTGTTATTTTCTTCGCAACTCCCACAGTCAATAAATGGACAATGATTCTGTGTTATTAATCACTTCCAGGTATATTAAAAGGGGAGCACAGTTCTAGAACAACAGATAATCTCTCTAAATCTCCCTCCTCTCTCCATTTCCAGGCTGGCAGCTGCTGACACCGATGTGCTGTGCCCTCACACCAGGAGCAGTCAGGCTGTGCAGGGCTCACTTGCAGTAAGTGCCCTGTTACCTCCTTGGAGCTGTTGCTCCATCCTGAACAAAACATTACTGAGACATCACTGATGCTGCTCTGCTGGACTTTCTCAGGACTCTGGCACACCAGGTGAGGTACCAACCAGTTTTTCTGACAGCAAGGAAAGGCGGCTCAAATATATCACCAAAGTACTGTGGGTTTTCTTTTTAATTTTCTTTTTTCCCCCTGCACGGTGCCCAAGGGGTAAAGTGGGGTCAAAGTTTGATAACTAAAAAAACAAACAACCCCCCCCCCAAAAACAGCAAAAAAAAAAAAAAAAAAAAAAAAAAAAAGAAAAATTTTGTTCCCTCTGCTCTTTTTGGCAATGACTGTTTTCTGGTTATGTTGAACAGTGCTAAGTGTGTTGTTGGCAAAAAAAAGTCTGTCTTAAAATAATTTAATCCCAGCTCTGATGCCACTCCTCTGTTTAGATTCTACTATTAATACTTCTGTGCTGTTGTTGAACTAAAATTCTTGTATGTTTCCTATTTTCTCTCTGAAAACAATGTTTGGTAAGAATTGTTGATTATTGTTTGGGTCCAGGGAGCTGGTCAGTGCACTGATGGTGACCTTGTCTTACTTTTGGCTGGGGTTTCTTCAGCCTGGTGTGACCAGACCCAGCAGTCGTTTTCCTGTTTTGACATTTGTGGTCACTTTGCTGCTTCAGACATGTGGACAATATTACGTCCTTGACTTTTCCCACTCCTCAGTATATAAGAGACTCTCCTGAAAATCCTTACATGTTGGCATGTTGGTAAAGTTGACTTAGGAGTTTTGGTTTTGATACAAAGAAAAGGAAAATTAAAATAAACACGAGTAATAAGAATGGGGCTGGAGGGAACCTGAGTGGTACAAAGGAGTGGAAAGGCAGCAGGAGGCTCACGTGAAGAATGAGGGCTCTCACTGGGAGTGCATGGGGAACATCAACTGGGTTTTCAGTAATACAAGTGAGCAGAGGAGGGATACTGACATAAAGGAACAAAAATCGTGAGATGTGCCCCAGCCCCCCCTTCTCCTGGTCAGCACCTCCCTTAGCTTCAGCGTCTCAGGTTCTCTATGCAAAGGCATGCAGTTTTTGGGGGGAGGTAGCAACTCCAAATCCAGATATTGTGGCAATCATAGGGAAGTGGAAGAATAGGACTTTGCTGTGAAATATTTCAACTGAATTTGCACAGTGGAAAAACAATTTGACATAGTTTGTGAGGCAGCTGTAGTGTTTGATTTTTAAATAAAAGCATACTCCAATAATAATCTTTTGTTTTCACAGCATGAGTTGAATGAATTGATTAAACATACTCAATCAATTATTCCATGTCATGTTTTTATCTGAAATTTATATACATTGTAAAGTAAAACTATGTTTATTAAATGAAAATTAAAACCAGTATCACTTACTATGGCAGGTCCCTACAATACACACATGATAATTTATTCAGGCCTTATTAATTCTTCAAAGCAATGATAATAATCCAACATTTTTTGTTTAGGATTTTTTCCTTTAGATTAAAAGTGAATTAAGATTAAATATTTATGGAACATAAATATCCTTGTGTCTCCTCTGTGTCCATGTGCTTCCTTTTTATTTTACTTTCTTTTGGAGGTGGTCCTCCCCCATTATTACTTTTACTTTCTACTGTAGTTTCTGGGTTGACCATAATAGACATTTCTTACTGTGGAATTCAAACATGGGTAGTCCTACAGACCTCCTCTTAACATACAGTTGTAGTGTGCTGCTTTGGTATAGGAAGCAGAGCGCTTTGCAGAACTTCACTTCTTTGATACATCTTGGTTGTGATCACGTTGTAAAGAGCAGGAGAGCTGTAGTGATGTAGTGCAAGGTATAAACACCGAGGTATTGACTCAAAAGGCCTACCTCACTTTTCTGCTATTCTGCACCAAACTTCTGCTTACACCAGCGGAAGGACACCACTGTGAAACAGGAATCGAACCATGCAGATGACTGAAGCTCGGTGTCCCCCAGGGAGCAGTGCCTCATAAAATATTTGATATAGGAACAGAAATGCTGGATGTTCGAGCATGTTTTAGGAATTCCCATAGGTGGCACGTGTGCACGTGTATGTAGGGGTACCAGCAGCTGCTGAATGGCCATCAGCAGTTTGTGTTGTACAAACAGTAGCTTGCTTGGGGTCCTTCCCACAAACACGCTTTATTCCCTCTGCTGCAGAGTCCCTGTTTCCCTATATAATTGCAACTGACAGCCTGGATTGGTAGTATCCAGCAAATGCTCAGCAGCATCAGCCGCAGGGTGATTGATGTGAATGCCACACAGGGAGGCTCTTGCTCTGTGAAGGTTTGGGTTTGCAGCGGCATGATGAGTAATCAGTGTTACTGGAAGCAGTCTGACATGCTGATCCCAGTCTGAGAGGCATTTCACCCTTTTGTAGGTGATTCTGAAGCATAGGAAGAGCAAGATATGAATGGACAAAATTGTGACTCCAGAGCTGTTTGTTTTGACTTGTGTTTATTAGTAACTAATGGTAAAACCTATAGTCCTTACTGAGGCAGGGCTGCAGGGGGCTGAGTTCCTGTGAATACAGAGAGCATCACAAGCCTGTGCTCCACCATCTTGCTTTACCTCGTGTCTGAATTATCTACTGGGGTGTGCACAGGACACACATTGCACAAACCGCTGTAAGCTTGATAGTTAATGTGGGACTTAAAGAAATTACAGTGAATAGGAAACAGGGGTCAGGACTTTCCTGGAGCAATAGTGAAAACTCACCTGGTATTGCAAGTCCAAGCTTGCATGCCAGACTTCAAAACTGTTGGTAACATGGAGAGGATTTTGTTATGTAGAGGCACAAAACCAACAGGTTTGCAGAGCATGTTTCATGTAGAGAACCTCTGCCTGGTTCCATTGATGTGGGCCAGACCAGACTATAACTATCAAGTAATTTCTAATGCTGCTCTCTTTAGCTGAGATCCACTGACATCAGGGTAGGCATGGCTGTACTCCATCTGAGGGTCAGGTCACCTTTTGCCTTTATCTTTTAGCAAAGGTTTTTCTGTTGACAAGTTGCTGTGAAAAAATGAATCTCTTTTCTACAGAGTCAAGTGGAATTGAATTTGCTTGACAGACACAGAAGTATCTGGGCTCATGCCAGCATCACAGAGTAATACAGATCTAGGATCTGATGCCCCTAAAAGTTTATCTGCAACCTTCTTAGTTCGCTGTTAGTTTAATGTTCTTTGTTTGTCATTCCAAATTCCCAGCAGATGCACCTATACAGAATTTCCCTGGAAAAATATGAGCAACTGTATCAGAGAAAACTGAAACGTTGTTTGAATATTGCAGTGTATCTAGAGTATGAGCTTCAAATTAGGGGTTAATATAAAGTATTAGTCAGTATTCCAGGAAATTGTCAAGATCACCAAGTATTGTACTGACTTGACCTGTGTTACATTGAACTCACTCTTTCCATGTTTCCAATAAAAACATGCAGCAGAACTTGTTCCAGAACCAGTGTCAAACTCAGTTAAAAATAAATCCCCTCATAGTTTAAAAATGCAGTGCATATACTAAATATATTGCCTCAAAATATATCTCTTCTAAGGAAAACTATCTAAAATTTATCAACCCTGAAATCTCCCCTGAGTCTTATGCAAAATCATAGTTTTCCGCTATGATTCCTAAAAGTTAAAATAATCCTTCCTCACTTGTAAGCCACCTAATCCTCTGTGTTTTACTCTGTTTTTATTGCAACACTAAGCCCAGATTTGTTTCGTTCAAGAGCAGGATTTGTAAATAACTAATTATAGCCCTGTTTTTTCCCCTTGAAGCACTAACATTTGGCACCTCAGCAGACAGCTCCGTCTAAACTACCAGACAGTTCAGGGGAAACAGCGGACTTGGTCTCAAAACAGTAGGGTACTGCTGACAAGCTCTCTTGGACCACTTCACCTCCTGCTCTCAGAACAGCAATCAGATGAGCCAGAGGGCAACTTTAGGAAAATATTTTTCTCTAGTAGCAGTAACATCTGTCTCCTTGGCAGCCTGTGCTGGCAGTTGTGTTGGAAGCTGTGGGTTTGCCCCTGGCCCTGCCATGTATTTACATTGCTGAGAGGTTATCCTGAGCTCCAGTGGATCCCGTTACCTGATTTTCTTTTGTTCTGTCATTTTCCCTCTCTGATGCTTTGGCTGCTTAACTCTTTATGGGTAGATGTAAAGTGAAAATTACTTGTGCAGTATGAGATCAAAGGCATTAATTTGAAAGTATTGCGGTAATTTTCTTTTTATTAGAAATTCAGCTTTTCTGATCTGTTTTAGCTGTATTTATCTGGCTTCAGCCTAAGCAATTTAACCACTGCTGTCTGAGATTTTGAAGGTGCTGTTTCTCTACACCTGTATCTTCTACTTGCATCAAATTCTCTTTTGGTACTCTTATTTCTCCTGCATTTTACTCTCCTCCTCTGAGTAACTGATTTTTGACTGGTGCTTCATTTCAGTGGAATAATGTTATTATAAAGACAATTATAAAGTAATCAGCACGGGCATATCAATATTTATTGAAATACTGAAAAAAAAATTCCATTGGTGATGAGAAACTCCTGGCAAGAACTGACATGACAATATGTATTTCACCGATACAGTAAGAGAACTTCAACTTCAACAAGTAACTCACTGCACATTCTAAGAGTTGCATGGATTTAAATCCAAGGCAGCTGCAGAACATCTGTAATACAAATAGTCAGACTTTACAGATTGTCTGTTTACAAACACAGAACAATTATAATAAACCAGCCAAAGCCAAACCCTTTGAATTTTAGTCTGCTTTTAGTAATAGATCCTGTAATCAATAAGGCAGTCAGAAAATGCCTGGTTACAAAGTAGTTAACAATTAACGCAAGCAGCGTTTTTTGGTGATTTGTTTTGTTTTGTTTGTGTACTTTGGACAATCTGATGGGATTCTTGGAACCAAAGAAATGGGTAAATATATGTTAATGTATCTGAAATACTTTCCATTAAGCTGAATTGTTCTTTTCTTCTACATCCTTATTTTAATTCTTCTGTCCTGTATATAGATAAGGGTGCTGTGAATAGAGTTAGCAATATTTTTTTAAGCTTTTTTCTTAGTATTCAGTGAGATTCACTGTAGCATTTCAACAGGAAAAAAAAAGAGAAAATACAGAATGCAAACACTTGAAATAATGCTTTGCTTTTCTTTCAAAAAGAATGCCCACACTTATCTTGTATTTCACAGCCACCATCAATAGACTCCTGCATTGTACTGTTAATTTAGTTTGTTTGAGGGAGAATGCTGTTATTTAAATAATGCTTATGACTGCCCTGTGGGATGACTGAGGGAGCCGGGCTTGGTTTGCTCGTGGTCTGTACGGAAGTACAGACGTGCTGCGATACAAGACAGGCACAGAGGAGTCACAGACACAAGGCTTTGCTGTACTGGTACCCTATGCATGGACAGAACTTTAGAGTTGATTAATACAGGTAATTAAATCAGTGTGCTTTGTACTAATGCAGATGTAATAGCTGATGTCTTTGGTATACAATGTATGAACATTTAGACAAAAGTGAGAGAAATGCACCTTTTCAAGTTCACATGAAACAGAAAAAGATATAACTCACATAATTTACAACAGATTTAAATAAACTACATTTAGGATTATGAAGATTTACAGACATTTAATCAACTGAATGATTTTAATTTGTAAAGACCCTTCTGTGTCCCTGAACTATGTTCCACTAAGTTGAAGACATGCTACAGTAAACACATATATTTGGCTTCTTCATTCTGGCTATATCTTATATATAGATGAAACCAAAGAAAAATAAATTAGCATCATAATTGTCTACAGTGAAAACTATCATATACAATATAAATAAACTATTCAAAAGCCATCAATCTTCATGAAAAAATTAAAGTATTAGGATTTTATACAGTTTCTACAAGTGATTGTGCAGCCAATAATCTCAAAAATTAAAGTCAAAATGAAATACCCCTATTGATTTTAGTGTCTCACGACATACAGTAATTAAGTACTGGTAAAATAATTACCAATTTAAAAGAAATAATAAGGAAATCACTGCTCTGCAATTTTATCACAGTTTTTTCCCCACAGGACCTAAAGAATGTAAACACTATGCTTTGCTAATGTTAGAGATTAATACTTTATTTTGAAATGTATGTTGATCTACACCTGCACAGTTACCTTTAAGGGTAAAAAAATAAGGCAAGACTTATAACTGTGGCACTACATGTTAATACTGATATCTTCATTTGGACAGAGAGAGAAGTGTTTGTTCTTTTCTAATATTTGTTCTGCAGCAGACTTTGGCCTACATAGACACAGCAGTATCACTCTTCTTTCTTTGCGTAAAATATGTGTATTACCTAACTTGAAAAACAGAAGGTTTCATTAGATATTGTATGTTTGAGTTGAAATTTGGTTTCCTAATTTCTGGCAATTTTAAAGATCATTTCTTAATAAGCCCCATGGCATCACCAGGTTGAACAATTCATTTGTCACTTCCTGCATCATGCAATTTATTTTTAAAAATTTTATCTCTAGTTTTTTAACATCAATATTTGGTGTCCTAATTTTTAGTTTCTTGTCAAAAACACTATCGTTTGGGATGGCTAAAATATCTTCATTTCCTTTATTTGGAAACGGCCATGAATATACAGCGGAGCCATATTTTAGCCACTGCCCTGGTTAAGTGTGTAGTTGAATTGGCTAATTTATTTTGGAATATTTCCTTAGCTATTTAATAGCTAGCCAATAACAGTAGCAGAAGAGGGATACTGCCTGATAGAACAACATGAACACGTGACAAAACAAACTTCAGAACATAGTAAGAATGCCAAGCTAACTGGATAACAGACTCTTCATAGCAGTGGTCTGCAGGCCTGAGAGACTGACAGTCAACACCAGCCTCTGAGGATGCGGTGGCGACACTACACAGGCCAGCTCTCTCTTACAGATTGTTGAATGGATGCCACATCATTTATCACAGAAGAAGTAAGTGTTGGGTCCTTGGAAAGATGATAAAAGATGCTCCAGATGCAGTTTTGCATCTCTTATAACTGTTTTAGAAGTCCTGCTATACAGTGAAGGAATTTAGTGCACTCAAATTCCCCACTATCTTAGCTCGATGATACAGTTCAGTTTTTTTCAACTAGGTTTCTTCATATTGGCCATCAGCAGATTTAAATATACAAGGATCATTCTGTCCTTTTTCATATCGACACTGGTCATAGTATCCACTTGGTAAGTTCACTTCACTTTAGTATAAAGTCCTATATAGATTCCTTTGGGGATGTGTAGCACGATTCACAGTTTGCAATACAAATACCCTGATACATCACTTATTTACTATTAGTATTTGATTATTATACCATTTTGCAAAGTCTTAAAACCACGTTTTAATTAGTGTTGCTCGGAGCAGTTCAGAATATGTTTGGGTTGTGTTGTTTTTTTTTTTTTCCTTGAAAGTAGAAGCTCTAATGGGTATAATTTATGCTCTCTTTGCATGCAGCATTTCAATGAGAAGGTTATTACATGGCACATCCCCGTTCAGGTGTTTGTAATAGAGGTATTCTTCGGCCTGCATACTGATGGCCCGGATTTCTGGTAGTCGCAGGAGAAGCTGCCCAAATTTGTCTGTTTGCTGTGGGTAATTACACATCGTGTAGTCCAGCAGAGCAGCATTCACTTGTTCCTGAACACCTTCCACAAGCTGGAAGTTCTCAAGATTTTTGACATCTGAATGACAATAGAAAAAAAGTAACAGTTCAATTGCATTTTAATTCCTGTTTACGAAGGCAGTGTTTCACTAAATGGATGTATTTTTTTTTTGCCTCCTGACAAAAGCATACTTTACAAACTGCTGAATATTCAGTGAACCTTTTGCCAACTTTCCTGGGAAAATGATCACAAAAGAGCTTTAGTGGAGTGTCTTGTTGAAATTCTGCATATACCTCAAATCAATTAGACACCAATGGAGTCTGAGCAAGGTCAGCTCTTTTCATAGCTTACAAAAAGAAAGGTTGAGGATTCCTAAAGTAGAGGACCATAATATATTGCTAGCAAATGAGTCCCAAGAGGAAGCCCTATCTTTAACCTAGTATGTTTCACAATTCATATAATTCTGTATTAATTTTTCTGACCCAAGGTGAAATCTGTGTCCAGGGTATGATGTAGTTAATTCTAATAAAAAGTGACAGCGTTCTTGTTTCTGTTTGACATTTTCTAAATGATTCTGAAAGCCTTTGACTTGTCTAGCCTATGTTAATGAACCATCTGGTACACTCCAGTGACTGCCAAAATAATCTTCCCTACTAAAAACTCTCTAAAATATATATTTCACTGACTAATGATCTTTATAAAATGAAATCATTGTCCTTTGGGTAGAATACCAGATAAGAATGGTGCCCTTTAACCTGAATATGGTTTCTGAAATCCAACACTGATTTTTTTTTTTTTTGTATTGGACAGCGGGGCTTTTACATCAGCACGGCAGGTACAGTTTGTTCACTCTGCCTCTGTTTGATTATCTTCTGTTCCTATACAGCAAGTTCAAGCTCTGGAAACACTCGTCAGAGATAAATGCCAGTACATTATCTCCTCAGCATTTGCTTCCTTGTGTAAAATCAATCCAGTGGCATTACTTTTGTCTGGAGAATGCAGAAGTTATTCTAAAGCTTGCAAATCAGAGTGTTATAACGCTGAAAGAGTCAACTGATCAAAGTGCACTTGCTGGGAGAACTTGTTTTGGTTGGTGCTTGATCATTTTTACCATCAGTAGAGTATCGTAACAGTTTCTTGTAATGCCAAATGTATGCTACTGGGCATAACTATGCTGCTAATTCACTTTGAGTAAAGACAAATCTGTTCTATGGATGTTCTTGGAGCACAAGAGGTGGGGAGTTTGGCAGAATTTGGCTCATTGTAAATGCCAGCCTTTGATTGTACGGGAAGTGAGTGTTTTCCTTTGCAAAACAGGAACACGCGTTGCTCCCCCAATCTATAAGGAGCCTGGGAGGCTGTGTAAACGGGGTCTCACTGCACCTTTTCCTAGAAGTACTTTAAACAGAGCAAATATTGGTTCCTGCACATAACTGTGTGCTGGAACATGAGGGAAATGGTTGGAGGAGGCAAACATTGTCTTTGGGACAAGAGGATAGGAAAGATGCCAAGGATTGCAGTGGCAGCCTGTGGCAGCACGCACAGCCTCCAGAGCCCGAGTTACAGGCTTTGAGCAGGAGCCCCTCTGGAATGTGCTGGCTGCCGGCTGCGCTTCAGGTTCCCTCTTGGACGAGTGGGGGCGAGTGTTTCCTGCTGTGGTTGTTACTGCCTGCCTCTTTCCTGTCCCAGTTTCACTGTGGAAATAAAGCAAGCGGCTCCAGAATTTGTGCTGCTTGTTTGGGAACTGTAGACACGACATACACCTAAATTCTGCTAGCTGGCTTAAGGAACTCACTAGTAATACTTAAATTATGTTACCTGTCCAACAAGAATCGTCTGAACTTTGCATTATCCCGAGTGAAGAGAACTGGAAACTTCAAAGCTGCTATGCCTGGTCCCTTAGCTATTCAGACTCATTTATCCAAAGTCTTTTTGCCAGTGTCTCTGGAGATCTTTGGATAATCATGTTTTCATGTATTACACTGGACATTTTCTCACACAAAATATAGCTGCTTATTATTTTACATACCTACAGAAAACTCCCAAGGTATTTTGTAGCTAGGGTAACCTGGATTAAAAATTGGATGTTCTAAGCATATTTTTAAAAAGTTACGAAAGAAACAGTATCAACTACCACAATTAATTTAAATAGGTTGTTTCAGATGCAAAATGCAATCATGAATGAATTGTTAGAACATAAGAAATTCCCACAGAAAACAGGGACTATGCTGGAAATTAAACTGTGTTAAACAGCAAGATAAAATGTATGATGATTTCAGAATCAGTATTTTGAACTTTTTTTTCTTCTGTTAAAAATAACTTTAAACATCAGGAAGTTTTAGAAACTGATATCTGATTCAACCCCCTTTAAATTCAAGGGACTTCTTTCTGTTGCTGTCTGAGTCCTACTGTGTATTAAATTGTCCTGGCTTCTTGGAAAATCAGGTTCATTATTATTTTTGGTTTTGCATGGATCATATATTTATTGAAAAATCACAAAATAAATTTTTACACAGATTAAGAAGAAACAGTCTGAGAACTGCAAAATTTCCATATTTTTCTACAAAAATGGTGAATTCAATGTATGTTTTTAGAGATGCATTCTGTTTTCAGCTGTATTGATACCATACTCAAAGTCAGGAAGAAACATAATATTTTATATTACATTACTCCCAAACACAGGATCAGTGGCTTTTGGCAGTAGGTGTACCTGTGAGCTGTACAGGTGTTCCTGTACACCTGTCAGTTACTTGGCCTGGCTGAATTCCATGGAAGTTGCAGAACTACAGGGGAAGGTCTGTGTTGTTTTTCTTTTTTCACCTCAGTGGAAAGTTCTTTAAATACTCATATGTGGCAACATAAGCACTGAAGTCAGATATAAAAACAGGTTGATAATAACATTAAACAGAAAGTAGTTCTGGGGCTCTTCTATACCACATTCAACCTGAAGAAATACTTTTAATGTCTTTCCTCTAAACAAATTTGTGGTGAGGCTCAGTGCTTCTAAACAAGATGTTATTATTTAACCAGTAAAAACATGTAGAGATTTTCCTGACTTTCTATACTGAATCAGATACAGTCTGTGTGACTACAGTTTAGGACTGTGAATTATCACACAATTCATCTGTGTGTAGATCTCTCCAGAACTGCAATTATAATAGTGGGGATGTAGATGCAACCTGATGACCAGTTATGCATTTTGGAGTGAGTCTTCATGAACTGACCAAGATCTCTGGATATGACTTTTGATAAGTGCTCTCATCTCACGTATGTTAATGATAAATGCTGCAGTAAAGCAAATGAGGCAGTCCAAACAGAGAGAGAAGTCAAAGGATATGTGCTGAGAGCACTGTGTGAGCTCCCCTGTCATCTCTCAAGCTCTCCAATGATATTTTGTGTATCGTCAAAAATAGGTTTGCTGAACACATAGTTGCAATAACAATTATGTCATTCTTTCTGAGGGAGAATCACAAACTCTAGCTATACTAAAGATGAGTAATAACAAAGGAAAAGGTGAATATTAAGTTATTTCCAGTGACTTCAAGTTATGCAGGTGGAACAAGAAATGGTACCGTTTTCATTTCTGATGCTTAGTGCTAGCTAATAGTGATATAAATGAGATTAATAACTTTGGTTTTTAAGTAGATGGCTTTCCTGCGGTTTGGGTTTGGTTTTGTTGTCAGTGTTTATTATGTAATGCTGGCTAGACAGGCATGATTTAGTTTTTCAAGTATTTCCTTTGACTGCTAATGAGTTAACTTGGTGAGACATCAAGCAATGTGGGTGGAACTCGGCTGAAGGCAGTGGTGTACAATGAGCATGAAATCTGCTACTGATGTGTACAGCACAACAGTCTTCTATGTTTTCATATAATTCTTCATTCCTGTCTGCTTTTTAAAATTGGAATGCCTCTTATCAATCTTTACATTGTTTAGTAACAATTTAAAGTACATATATTTAAGCTTAATGCAAAAAATAATTTTCTGAGGTTCAGACGCTTGTAAATTAAATGAGGAGGAGTAGGTCCCCCCCTCCCACCCACACACCCTTTAAATCCTAGCAGCTAGAAAAAGTGTTTTGTGTTGCTACAGTAAGTATCAGTCTCTTAGCTCTTCTACTTTATTCACTCAGGGACTAATTACCAACTTTTTACATGAAACAGCCTTACTGTGAGCTCACAGTGGGGCGCGCATCTTTTTCTATCCTTATTGAAAAGTAAACCCTTAGGTCTTCTGGAATATATTATATGTTTTACAAGAAATAGTAATTGCTTTTCTGTCAAACAAAGAATTTTTGTTCTCTATAGCTTACTTTTGACGATTAAGACAAAACCAGTATTATAGCATTTCATGGTCTGCTCTGCAGTCACAGTAAAGATCTGCCAGTATTCCCAGATATCCCCCCATTTTGATTATTTTCTACATCTGCCATAAAGCTGTGCATTAAGCTGAAACTGCATACAACATTCAGCCCGATGAGAACACTTTTGCATATTTTCCCCCAAAATGGGTCTGGTCTTTAGAGGGGGAAAATATTTAGGTTTCAGAGAGATTTTCTCCCTCTCATATTCCAAACATGAAATACTTAAAATTTGGTGGTGTACTAATCTATAGAGAGTTTCTCTTTGGTCTGGGAATTTTGAAAAGAAAAATGAAACAGAATGAGAGATTTAAATTTGAAAAATAGCAACTCCTTAGGAACAGCATAAATATTTCCCACAAAAAGACAGTTAAATTTTACTGCTCATGTCTTTTATTGGATATGTTTCTACACGAAGCAATGAAGAGATGTGAACGCAGACAGCTCAGCTGCCTCTCTGCAAGGATGAAATAAGGTTGTATTTAGGCCTCTCCATGGGGAGGGGGATTTCTCACTTTCACAAGGCTGGAAGCAGTCTTACAGATACTCCAGGCAATAGGACTTGATACCAGCCCAGGCCTGAGCTTTCTCGCCCCAAACGGGCTGATGAGCCCCATCATTTAGGGACTTTACTAAAACCCAACAGGCCCCAACATTTAGCAGCTCTTTGGAATGGTTGATTAGCTTGTAGATAAAACATGACTTCTTCCAAAGTCTAG